TGCATACAGATGCAGACTCTGCTCCTACTTCACTGCTGTGTCCTGCCTCTTCCTAGAGCACACCAGGATCTGCTGTCCCTGTTGTATTGTTTGTTTCACTCTGAGCACTCTTGAGAGAGCAGCCTCATTGTTGTATAATGCCTTCTTTCTACACATGCACTTCCATTGCTTTTTAAAAAATATTTTATGTATACTATGTATTCTGATCAGATCCACCACCTAGTCACCTTTCCAAAAAAACTCTCCTAAACCTACCAACATCACATCTCCCTCCCAACTTTCTCCTCTTCCTCTTTTTCTTTGTAACTCACTGAACCCAATTAGCACTACTCATACACATATGGTTTTATGGTTGTTTACTAGAGCATGAGCACTCTCATGGGTCACTCCCCTGAAGAACAGTGACTCTCCCTCCCCTAGCAGTCATCAACTGCCAATAGCTCCTAAGCTGAGAGTGGGGCATAAATACACATTTGGTTTTTTGCATTTGTGTTATCTCTTACTGTTTAATAAATTGTCTTTATTTCTAAGCCTTGTTTCACAAGGCAGTTAACCAAATTTTATCAAATCATCTTTTATCAGCTCTTCCCCAATTCCTCCACTTAAAATTCTAGAGCAGATTTTTTAATCCGGGCTCTTGGATGGAGCATATATAAAAATGTATAAGAACCCATACGCTACAGAAGGATGTGCAAAAGTTGTATGTATGTCTCCACTTGCACACAGTTCTGATGAAAAGGTCCTGTGCCTCCTTTAGATATATAAATGGATGCATAACTCTCCAAATATTAAGAACTGTTGTTCCTTGGGTTTTTTCTTCTCCAAGTCCTGTATTTAGGAAATGATAAAATATACCATCTGTTCTCCCGGGTTTTACCAGTAAATTTTACCACTTCTTCTCTTTTTCATTCTAGTTCATAGCTACTCATATTTTTCTCATACTTTTCTGAATTTCTGCACCTTTTGTGTCTCAGTTTAGGTAACAGTGTCAGTGGCGATGACAGAGACACCTATCCCCTCAGCAGTCGGGGTCTAATCTCTTACAGGCTTTGGTCAAAGTGGGATTTTCTGCTTTGACTCAGGAAAGAATTCCAGGCCTATCTTCTTCAAAGAGAACTTGCATATTTTGTTAAAGATAATGTTAATATAGGCCTAAAGATGAGGACTGAGATAAAAAGAGGATGTCGAGGAATGAAAGAACACTTTGAGCATAGGCAAGGGTTTCTCTAAGAGACTCATGAAAAGTAAAGCATACTCAAGTGAAGGATGGACTTCTCAAGGGCAAGTCTCAGTTAATTGTGTTGTATTAGCCATGCATACCATTTGGTGGCTCTTAAATTTCAAAACTTGTAGGAAACTTTAATTTTTCTTCTCTCTTTTGAGAAGCTAAATCATAGAATGACTCTGCAAAGCCTTGGATGGAATTATAGTCTGATAAAATAAAACCAGAAGCCACTGGAGTTGCACAAGTAATTGGAGCACATTTCCCTGTAAATGTGGTTTGCCTGTGATGCACACCTTTAACCTCAGCACTCAGGAGGCAGAGGCAAGTGGAACTCTGTGGGTTTGAGACTCTGCCTCACAGAAAGAGACAGAGACAGAGAAGAAAATTGCAAGTTCAACAACTGAGAAGGATGAAAGGTCTTGAGCAGTTGTTAAATATTTTGAAGTTCTTGCTCCTCTGCAGACAGAAGGCTTCAAACAAGAATCCCAGATGAGGGGGTTCCTGCCAGTTTTGTTCCTATAATTCCCTCTGTCTTTTCTTCCTGCCTGAAGAAAAGAAAAAGGGGAAAATGAGAAGTAAAGCAGTTGTTATGTGACATCTTATTTAATGTCACTGTAATCCCACAGGTTAGACCAACGTTTAAAATGAGAAATGTAGTGCCCGCACTACTACCCATTCACTATGTCTGAGCAAGGGCCTGAGGATTAAAAGAGAGACAAGACAAGTCATTCATCTCAGTAGAATGCCATTTATTGAAGGAGGGAGGAGGCCTTAAATACAGGTTTGCAGCACAGTGGGAGAACCCTGGAGGGCAGAAGTTCACTACATACTTGCATCCTAGCTGTTTACACCAATGTACAGGATACACAAACAAGGACCCTCCGGTAAGCTGTTTAGGAGGAAGGAAACCAGCAGGGAATTAGCATAGGGAGGACATCTGATCAAGGTCAGCAAGCAAGGCAACAGCTACCCAAGGAACAGGGGTCAGGGCCCAACAGAAAAATTAAAGGGATTAGCTGTTTCCACATCATATAAATATCAGAGTCCAGTTTTAGGTCTGTGTTTCAACCTAGGAACATTCCTTCCATGAAGTTTTTCTAGACAGAGTGAGTGGCCATCTCTTAGCAATGTCATACTTACATCCTGTTGCTTTTCTTTCATCAAAAAAATACTTTCATTGCTCTTCATGTAGAAACATAACACAGATTCCCAAATGTCCATGCATTGTTATGTCCACAGTAATATTGTCCTTGGTTTCTTATTAGCATAAAAATGATAACTGGCTATTCATTTATTAATGAGTCACTCTATAAACCGAACTTCATTAAATCTTGCTTTTGTCAGGACCTTGCTAAGGTTTAAAATGTGGTGTCTCCAAGCCCAGTTCTCACTTTAGATCCCACTAGGAACATTTAAAATCCTCCTGCAGCTGTTCTGATTCAGTTAATGCAGGTAGAACTTGGGTGGGCTATGTAGTTCTGTGAAGCTTTCCCAGCAGTAGCTGGTCTTAAGAGCCCTCATTGGAAGTGTAGTCCAGAAACAGCTGGGACCTTTACAAAGGCAGTTCCTCTGCCCTCCTCCACCTGCTTAACAGCAAATGCTGAACTAGGATAGGAGGGGGACTGCCAGCAAGTCATTGCTAGACACTTTCTAGACCTTTCTGATAAAAGCTGCAGGCTAGGAAAAACTTCTCTGGTGACAAGGACACCAGCAATGATGTTCTCACCAAGCTTCTCCCTGGCTGTCAAGGAATCCTCAGCTCTTCCTAATTTGAGCTTTAATTACCCAACCCAGTTATACAAACTATAACTTATAACTACTTTTAAAAAGCTTAACAAAAATTCCATCTTTTCCTGGCAGCCATTAAATAAAGTGCATATTGTTTGTGAATAGTATCCCAAAGTCATATGAAGCCTGCATGCTTATCACAGAGAGAATTCTAAAATAGAAAATCTTAAATGGCAAATGTTTTAAATAAAATATCTTATGCTTCCTGAATTGTTTAATTTACTTAATTGTGATGATAAGAAATGTGATTTTAAAAGACATTTTCTGTTTTTGTATTTTTTTCATTTTTTTGAGATTATAATTAAACAATTTTCCCTTTACCTTTCCTCCCTCGAAATCCTCCCATATACTCCTCCTCACTCTGTTTAAAATTCTTTTTTTCTTTAACTGCTGTTACATGTATCTACATTCTTAGAGACATAAATTCAACCTGCTCGGTCTGTATAACATTACTTATATGCATGTGTTTTCAGGGCTGACCCTTTAGACTTGGATAACCCTTTGGTGTGATTTTCCCTGAGGAAGCCTAGTTCTCCTACTCAGCATTGCTTAGTTGCTCATTTTCCTTTGTGTAGGACTGAGGCCTTCTGGGCTTCACTCATCCACTTTGGCTAGAGAGTTCTTTGTGTAGGACTGAGAACTCATGGGCTTCCCTCATCCACTTTGGTTATAGAGTTCTTTGTCTAGGACTGAGGCCCAGTGGGCTGCTTTGGTTATAGAGTTCTTTGTGTAGGAATGAGGCCTCGTGGGCTTCCCTCATCCATGTTGGTTATGCCAATTGTTGTCCTTGTCCTGCTCATATTTTGGCAGTCTCACAGCAAACTTTCCCATCCTCTGGATCTTACAATTTTTCTGCCCTCTTTTCTGCAATGATCCCTGAGACTTACATGAAGGCATTGTATTGTAAATGTATTTATTGGGACGAGGCTCCATAACTGCATATTGATTGGTTTCGTTTTCTGTAAGGCTCTACATCTGTTGCAAAGAGAAGTTTCCTTGAGGAAGGACGAGGACTACACTTGCTGTAGATATAAGGACAAATACTTAGAATGCAGTTGGGGTTATGCTGGATTAGTAAAGTGGTGGTTATAAGTTCTCCTCCAAGATCCATAACTTCAGATCTATAACTTCACTAGCCCTGGGTAGTGACCTAGGTCAATAAAATATTTTTAAATGGTCTTGTGTTGTGTTTCCATTGAGATGATACCAGCATTATACATACTATTCTCTCAGTTTTGTTAATAAAGTTTTATAATTCCATGACAATATAATTGAGTTATAATAACTAGACATATTTAAAACATCTCCCTTGATAATGTTACACTGTATCCTAAAACCATTGTTTTAGTACCACTTAATACTTCCAGGTTCCCTGCTCTCTAGACCCTAACAAAGAGTGACATTTTGGAGAGATCTGCTGAGTAAAACAAGGAGGCCTAAGGTAAACAGATGGGGCTTAGAAGGTAACCAAGTATCACTGAATTTAAAAAATGGAGAGGGTTTTACCAAACTGGAGTAAAGGCCCTTTGTGTGAAGTTGTTTATCATGTAGGGTTTAAAGTATGTACTCAGGAATGGGGTGTAGCTTAAGCGGTGGAGTACTCTCTAGGTAGGCAAGGCTCTTTCTATTTCAGCACCAAACAGACAAACAAATAAAGTAAAACACAACACCATCCTTCCCTTATGCTCCTTTAAAACAGCAGGTGAGTTTCATGGACATGTGTGCCACTCACAGTTGCTAAGCTCTCTATTTCATCTTCTGCAGCCACTAACCACTTTGATCATCAAATTATTGTATTTTGTATTGCAATGAATAAAAATGATATTTCTGATTTTATAGCAACAATATATAATGTGCCTTTAATTTCCTCTTAACTCTGTTTCCCCTTAATCAATCACACTATCAATTGTTCATATGTAGAAATCCACATGAGCTAAACTGGGACTTAGTTCTCCATCCTAAACCTATCCCTTTTCCTCCATTGCAGGCTGGCTTCACGAGCTGGGAAAGAGACTGGAATCTCCGTACTATGGCAACAACACGATGGGGGGCCCATCCATCCGAAGTGCCTACATTGCTGCCCTGTACTTCACTCTCAGCAGCCTCACCAGCGTTGGATTTGGGAATGTGTCTGCTAACACGGATGCAGAGAAGATCTTCTCCATCTGTACAATGCTGATTGGAGGTGAGGAACCTTATTCTGGAGCAAGAAAAGGAACTGAGTCTCCAGAAGCCCTAATGTTTTGCTTGGGTCTGAAACACAATAGCAATACACTGCTCCATACTGGACTAGAACTTAACCAGAAGCACTACATAGGAAGTAAGTGACAGGCAATTTAATGTACACACGTAAGTTAGCAGAGACCATGGTGGTGTTGATGAGTCCATATATCATTTATCTCATGGGAATTCCCTGAGTCTGAATTGTAGGCATATGCTAGAAACTCCCACAAAAGTTAGTGTTACCAAATTTTACTCATACTAGTGTGGTAAACTTTGGATGCTTAATATATTATTGTTCAAAAAAACTCCAAGGAGCAAGTAATTTGCATGTTTTCATAATTTTAAATGTCCCATCTCTTGTTCTGAGTGCTTTGGTGCAATACTGGGGTAATTATTGAGGCATGTCTGTGGGGTCAGCATTATTACAACCAGCATGTTATTGCACCATTTTTCATAAGCCCTAAACTCCTTCTGATACTCTGCTATGAAAATCTGTGGTGTGACTCCACAAACCTTTCTACTTTGGCAGCCAACTTCATTTCTACCGGTAGGGGGAACCAGTGAGAGACTGATAGGCAGGAAGATGGGCAAGGTTTGCCTGCTTCTGGGGTGCAGTAGCTTTCAGTTTACAGTCTCCAGACACTCCCCAGAGATCTCTGTATTCTGGGGCTGCCACCACACCTCAAGTCACAGTTAATCTGCCTACGCCTCTTCACCTACTTCATACAGCTCCAGCACCTCCCTTAAATATGTCCAGTGACCTCCACACTTCAGCTTTGCTCCTTCAGCCCTCTGCCACCAGAAAAACCATGAAATATTTAGCGTAATTTCTCTTTTCTGAACCTCCTGAATTGACCCATGATTGATACTACTGTTGCTGACCTATCAAATCTAAAGCTAGATTTAGCTAAATCTAAAGCTAAAGTTAACACATCCATCCGGGTGAAGTAAGCATGCTTAGACCAGACATTGTTTGCATTTCCCCAAAGCCTATCTTACTATATTCACTTACTGCCCTCAATCCCAAATATTAGTAGAAAGTGTATCAGTTAGTGTCACGGGAGATAGGATGTAGAAAGTACGCAGCACTTACAGAGATCTTCGTCCCCACAGTGAAATCAGCATCTTAACACAAGGCTTACTTGGTGAACTTATAACCTGGCTTACAGGGGGAAGCTGGAATTTATGAAGAGTTTGAACAGCACCAAGCAGGGGATCCTTAGTGCCAAATCAGTGAGGAAGCTGAGAAGCAGTCAGCAAGGAGGGCCAGCATCTGCAGTCTTCCTTGGAAAGAATGCTGAAGCAGTGTGCTGGGACTGTAGCGATTTTAAAAGGCTCCTGGTTGATGCCAAATGCTTATAGCCTAGAGAGCAGAGAACAAGAATTCTCATCTCTAAAGAGCTACAACTCACCAGAACCCATGGTGGCTTGTTCACATCTAGTGTTAGGATTCACATAATTCCACTTTCCTCAGTGGCCCATTTTTTTCCCTGCCTAACAAAATGGGAAGCACTTTGCAAGTACACAGAGTCTATACTTATTGAAGGTTGCCCAGCTGGGCAGCAGTGGTGCATGCCTTTAATTCCAGCACTCGGGAGGCAGAGGCAGGTGGATCTCTGTGAGTTTGAGGCCAGCCTAGGCTACAGAGTGAGTTCCAGGACAGCCAGCAAAGCTACACAGAGAAACCCTATCTCAAAAAACCAAAAAGAAAAAAAAAAAAAAAAAAAGGTTGCCCATGTTTCTTCTTCCCCTGTTGAAAATGTTATGAAATGCTCAATGCTAAAGCTTACTAATTTGTCCATTTGAGAAATCTGTTAGACAACTGGGCATACTGTTTTGACCAACCTACCTTAGTGAGTGATCCTTGACCAGAAATTGTAAATGTATAATCTATTCCCCACTTCTCACTGAACACGGGAACTATACTGGTCACAAACCCAAAATACGGGATATAATTTGATAATGTCACTTTGTTAAATTAATTTTCATCAAATTTCCTGTTGCAAAAACAGTGTGTAAGTAGCATTGGGACTTCAGGTGTCCAAACAGCAGGTGGAAATGTAGATTACTCTCGTGCAAAATGACCTAAGTGGGTTGAATTTCTTGAGGTTTTTCCATTTGTGTTTGTGGGAATAACTTTTTATTATTTTGAAACTACCTTAGGCTAAAAGAAATGAAGCCCAAATTTTAATATCTCCTAATTAACAAATTACTTACACATCATTGTGAACTAATTATAAAAAATTCACAATATAGTACACTTTATTCATGTAATCCTCATAGCACTAAGAAACAGATAATATTAATCCTAAGTTAGACTAAAAGCCACAAAAGACTAAATATGGATGCCAAGACTCACTAAGACCTGACAGTTTTTTTGGTAAAGCATCCACTGTATCATATTACATGAATTAATTTTATTTACTTAAGTTTTATAAATATATACAAATGAATTTTTAAAAAGAAAAAAAGGTAAAACTTAAAATTTAAAGTGTATATTACTATGGACTTAAACCTAGGGTATCTTATTAGGAATCCCTAGTCCCATACAAAGCTGCTGAAGCTGGTAACAGTAGAAATGGTTACTATTATAGTAAACAACAGCAATGTTAGAGGACAAAGGGAGTAGCAAACCCAGATGACCACCTAAGACAGAGCTACACCAATGCTGAGTGAAGGTGAACCCACCTAGGAAGACGCAAAACCCCCTGCTCTAAAATCTCTTCAGAGCTTCACATGTTTTATAATTTGCACATGGATAGAATTATATATTAAGAGGCTGGAGAGACAGCTCAGCTGTTAAGAGCACCTGCTCTTCTTGTAAAGGACCTGTGTTTGATTCCCACCAAGCACATGGTGGTTCACAACAATCTATAACTCCAGTTCCAAGGGATCCAATGACATCTTCTGACCTCTGTGGGCACCAGGCATGCATATGGTACCACAGACATGCACAATAGCAAAACATTCATGCATATAAAATAAAAATAAATGAATCAAAATTTCCCATGTTGATATCCACATATATGTATATTCTATAAGTATCTGTAATTATGGAATGTAAACATAAATGATATATAGGAAAATATTTTAAAGTGCACAGTAAAGAAATTAAGCAAAATTATTTAAAATTTTATACATAGAAAAATCTACAAGAACCTTGAAAATATTCAGTATATAAGTAATTCAAAAGGTTCAGATAGTTTGTAAGTTCATTGTAAAGGCACCAAAACTACACAAAGAAACCCTGTCTTGAAAAACAAACAAAAAAATCAATTGTATGCATATCTACTAGTAACATTTAATCACAATATAGATTAAAAACAATACAGAAACTTCAACTATGGAAGAAGTTTTTAACTAGAATTCTGCAGAAGTACACAGAAAACTACAAAACATTAGTGAGAAATTTTACAAATGGTTTGAGATTGTTGGAGGGTATACAAAGTGATGAGTTTAATGTTGTAATGATACTAGTTTTACCCCGTTAACTTAAAATTCCCATATGATCTCTATAACAAAAGTCTAAGCAGTCATGTATCTGTGTGCATGTATGTCTGCAAACTGATAGGTGTTTTTAAAAGCAGTGGGAATCAGAGCTGAAAAGAGCCAAAACAACAAAACATGAATGGACACAAAATCAAAAGATCTGCATTCCAAGTAACAATGCATATTGGGAAGTTACAGTCGTTAAGAAAATATGATGTGGGGTGAAAAGCTCACCAGTGAGCTGATGACATTGAAGGGAGTTTAGAATAAAGCCCACATCTATATGATCACTTCAGATATGACATGACTGACTCTAGACTATAGTTGAAGGAAGATTGATGGTCAATGAGTGTTATTGGGAACCAAAGGTGCTTGCTGCCAAGGCTGAAAACTTGATTTAATCCTTGAAACACACATGGTGGATGGAGAAAACTGACTCCCACAAAATGTTCTCTGACATTTATTCATGTACTATGGTACATTCACACTCATATCCACACCCAAATATACATACAAATACTTACACACAGAGAGATAGATAGAT